ATTGAACAATCTTTATTAACAGCAATTGCATAACAAAATTGATTTTATTTAATTGAGTTTTGTTCGATCAATTAATAATTGAATGGTTTAAGATTGGATGTAGTAATTTATTAATTAGCAATTTATTAAATTTGAGAATCATCCTGTTAGATTTTTTATTATTCTTCATTAATTTTATCTTCTTATCTCTACATCTTTTACAATAAATGTAATAAATTATTAATTTACATATTAATCAAGCAACAGAATATATACCATACAATTTCTTTAAATTGTTAATATGTTTATAAATAATGCGCACTTATAATAATATTTTATTCGTATTTTTATTATTACGCATTAATAAAGTGTTTAGATTAATAGTAGGGTATATCTAAATGAATTCCAAATAATTTTATTTAATAATTAGTCTAATGTATATTATACTAATTATACTATACGATAGTAAGGCTCTTAAAGAAAAAAATATATTTCAAATTATTTTTTTGGTAAGTTTACAGGCTATTACTCTAAATACTACAAATTTAGATTATGATCCCGTAAACAAGGCTCTCAAAGGATTCTAGAATAAGATCATAGATTAATAGTCAGAAAAAAAATTACTTCTTATTGTAAATTAAATTTATAAGTATAAAAAATAATTTTCACAAAAAATTCATTTTTGTAACAATATTTGATTTTAATGAATTCTTCTTATTGTTGACTTGATTTTATTATAGTAAGTGCAGCAATACTAGAATAATAACAAAAAATCATTCCAGAAGATTTTATCAAATAGTATATTCAACAACTTTATAATTATTATTGGTATTTACTATAAAAATTAAATTTATGAGTATCAATCATTCTTAATTACAGAGTGATGATAGAATTCTTGATATTATTAAATGTAATGAGGCATTGTTTTTGGTTTGCAATTAATATGATCAGCGTCAATAAAAAATTCTTTGATATCAATATTCTTAAAACACTACATTTAAAGGAAATCTCCATCTTTTGGTATTCCTGGTTAGCATATATTGCAATTCGCCCCAAATTACAGACATTCATTATTTACAGTATTAGCAATTACTGTTGTTATTTATGCATTTTCAGCTAATAATTAAATAATATGTTTCGTATTCAATTTGTATTTCTTTCTCAAAATTTAGTCCCAGAATATAATCAGAATTAGCAATTATTTCTTCTAAGAAACCTTAACTAAGCTCGATCTTTAGAATTGAAATTTAAGATTAAATATTCATTTTCTATTGGTTTTCTGGCCTACTTTTAATAAGTGCTTGTTGAGCTTGAAATTAGTTATACGTAGTCTTCTGTTCAAATTAAATTTGAATATCATGTCTTCTATTAATTCAGACAATCAATATATAATAATTTCCTTCTATTAATGAAATCTGGGTCCTTATTGCATAAACAATCAGCACAATATATTACTTGCCCAAACTATCTCTCAAATTAACCTAAACCACATGCAAAAAAATTAAAATCTTCACTTTCAAAAATAGGAATATCTTAAAAATATTATAAACTTTCTAAAAGTAATATTGATTTCTTATTCACACATAGAGTATTTTCATTCTCTCAGTAAGAGCATCTACATCGAAAGCTGCTTTTACCTGAATTATACACTCGTATTTGTAGATTCTTCATCTAGACAGGTTATGCAAAGAGTTTCTGATGGGCCAAAACAACTCAAACAACAATAATGAAAATTATAAAATATTAGATATACAGTCATGGGAATATTGAAACTCCATCTATTAGATTTAACCATTAAAATTATATAACATATTTCATCCTAACGTCATAGAAAATGAAGTTTCAAACAAGTGAGTTTTTTACTACTAAATTAAATCTGTTCTTTTGTTGATACCTCTGTTTCCCCAATAAATTATATTCTAAATATTATTAGTTTCGTCATTCTAAATAGTGTTTATGCTCTCTATTGATATTATGGAACCTAAGAGACACTCTTATTACCAAAGTTTTAATCCAAGCTAAATCCAGATTAATAACTGCTGATCAACTTAGTAAACTTATTTCTATTTAGGATATTTGTTTTTATAAAAATAATATCTACTAACTAAATCCTAAAATTCCTTTATTTAATAATACTTCTCAATTTCATATTTTTGATATTATATTCCAATTAAATTGTCTAATTTAAAAAATACTTTGGTTTTGACTCTTTTATTCAATTTAAAATTCAATGTTTGGATTTTCTGTAAATTTGTAGCCTTGAACTTATTGAGGACAGCAATATTAATTAAATTAGAAAAATGCTAAAAGTTTTTGATTATATCTCTTTATACAAGAATAACAAAATAAATTTCTTAATTAAGTTTTAAAAAATAGATTGTTAAATAAGAATTATGAGATTCAGATTGATGTAAATATTTTTGTAAAATCAGATTCCTTTATTATTAGAAATTTTATATTTAGGAAGCTTTTTGTCATATGATAAGCATGATAACGGTAATCTTCATTTTCGAAAAGAAGAAGTAACTAACTGTTAAAATTTTAGTGGTTAGATTGATAAAACAAAAAATTTTGATCCTTAATGATTCCCATTCACCTATTTTGATATTCAAAGTTGTTGTTAAATGAATTCTTTTAATTCTTGGATAATGAATCTAACAACAATCTTATATATAAAATAACATAATAAGCATTTCATAGTTTATTTTAATGAGCAGAATAATATTTTATTTTTGTTAAATAGATCTCTCTGTTAAATAAATTCAGAGTTTGTTTTGTTAATTTCAATATATAAACAATATGAACATTTTATCTCCATTTTTTTTGAGATAATTTGAGACGAAAATAATAATAGACACATTTTTATTCTTTTTATAAATAAATAGGATTTTTTATGAATAGTTAAATATAAATTCAATCAATTTATATTTAAGATAAGTCAGAATTAAAGTAAACCAAATCATTAATGAGAGATAAGTTAAAAAGGTCATAAAAATTGAAATGTTTTTAAATGAAATTCATTTGTACAAATTCAAAACCATTTAAAACTGCTATAAATTAAAAGGAATTTAAAATTTATATACTTTAGATATGACAATATTTATATTGTATCTAAAAGATTATAAAAGATATCTACTCCTTCAAATAGAAGAGCAGTTCCACTCATTGTTCAAATAACATTTAGAATATATTAATTACCTGAAGAAGCCATTTCAACCTATTCAACTGTAGTTATATCAACAATAATAAGTTCAACAATTTTTATTGTTAAAATCAATTATTATTAAAATTAAAGCATAAAGAATTAAGAACTCAAAATTAGCTTTACCAATCTTTTTCATTTTAAATCTAGTAATGGTTATAGAAAAAATAGGATTTTTATTATATCAAAATGATATCTTTAAACTATCAGTTAATTTGAGTTTGGATGAATTACGAATAAAATATTGATATTCAATTATAATTATTCATATTGAAGGTGATGTCACATTATTATTTTATATTTATTTCTTCTTAACCATTTAGAATGAATACTTCAACATCCTTATTAAAATCTATATCATTGTTAAATTGTAGGAGTATGTTATATTATAATTAAATAATCTAACATTATTGTATATAGATTGATCACCTGCTTATATTAGAATTAGAATTGGTAATTCTGGTTTTATACAAACTGAGTCTTTACAAATAAATTATTATTCTAATCTACATGTTCGATCATTTCCATTTAATACATTACTGTCATCGCATTCTTCATCAAGACTCATTATTCCATCTCCACCTTTATAATAACATGTGTTAGTTTCAAAATTAGAGTATAAGCCAACAATATTAGTTATTTTATTTAAATCGGCATGAATTGCAGTTAGATGCACTATTTATATATTATAGACATTATCGAGCACATTTAACACAAACTGATTATTGAATAAAGTATTCTTACTCACATTAAGTAAAAATAATGGAATTTAATGTATTCAAAGTNTAGTTAAATATAAATTCAATCAATTTATATTTAAGATAAGTCAGAATTAAAGTAAACCAAATCATTAATGAGAGATAAGTTAAAAAGGTCATAAAAATTGAAATGTTTTTAAATGAAATTCATTTGTACAAATTCAAAACCATTTAAAACTGCTATAAATTAAAAGGAATTTAAAATTTATATACTTTAGATATGACAATATTTATATTGTATCTAAAAGATTATAAAAGATATCTACTCCTTCAAATAGAAGAGCAGTTCCACTCATTGTTCAAATAACATTTAGAATATATTAATTACCTGAAGAAGCCATTTCAACCTATTCAACTGTAGTTATATCAACAATAATAAGTTCAACAATTTTTATTGTTAAAATCAATTATTATTAAAATTAAAGCATAAAGAATTAAGAACTCAAAATTAGCTTTACCAATCTTTTTCATTTTAAATCTAGTAATGGTTATAGAAAAAATAGGATTTTTATTATATCAAAATGATATCTTTAAACTATCAGTTAATTTGAGTTTGGATGAATTACGAATAAAATATTGATATTCAATTATAATTATTCATATTGAAGGTGATGTCACATTATTATTTTATATTTATTTCTTCTTAACCATTTAGAATGAATACTTCAACATCCTTATTAAAATCTATATCATTGTTAAATTGTAGGAGTATGTTATATTATAATTAAATAATCTAACATTATTTTATATAGATTGATCACCTGCTTATATTAGAATTAGAATTGGTAATTCTGGTTTTATACAAACTGAGTCTTTACAAATAAATTATTATTCTAATCTACATGTTCGATCATTTCCATTTAATACATTACTGTCATCGCATTCTTCATCAAGACTCATTATTCCATCTCCACCTTTATAATAACATGTGTTAGTTTCAAAATTAGAGTATAAGCCAACAATATTAGTTATTTTATTTAAATCGGCATGAATTGCAGTTAGATGCACTATTTATATATTATAGACATTATCGAGCACATTTAACACAAACTGATTATTGAATAAAGTATTCTTACTCACATTAAGTAAAAATAATGGAATTTAATGTATTCAAAGTGGATATTGTCAAATTCTGATATAAGATTTATTAGATAATAGATAATGAAAGAAATAATCACTAAATATAAATGAAATAAAATTGAAATTTGATTCAGAATACTTTATATTCTGTTTAATTCTTAACTCTATCAGATATTATATTTCTTTATAAAACCTAATCCAAAAATTAATCAAAAATATTTATATTAAATTAAAAATTCCTTTTTTATGATAATTGAAAATTATACAGAAATTACCTAGTCAGGAATGAGAACAGAAGTGAATTTCATCTAAATCAAAATTTTTCTGTTGCTAGGGTTTCTTAAAGAAAATCTTATTTAGGATGTAAATTTATGAAACTGATAATTAAAGTTATTATTTTATTATATTCTAATGTTTAGATGTTATAGCAAATTAATATAAATTTTAGCAAACATACCATTATGTAAAAGATGATTGATGCAACTAAATTAATTGTGATTTATCTAATATAGATCTTAGTTCAGGAGCATAAATTACAATTTTTGTAAATATATTTATAGTTCTAAATACTTAATAACTTTACAAATAAGGATATAGATTAACAAGTTATTTATCCAAATTAAATTTAATATTTGCTATAAAATAAAATTAATTTTAGGATCGAATTTGGTTTAATTTATATTTATTATTTCATTCGTATATATCTAGAATTTTCAAATATTCCTTAAATTTGTCTTTTTAATTTTCATAATTTACTAGAAATCCCATCTAACCTTCCTCTCCAAAATCATTATCATCAAAATCTCCTCCTATGGTACTGATTGATGGATCTGTAAAATTATAACCAACTCCTTACACATTACAAATCAAATAATTAAAATCACTCTTAAAGTATGTGTAGTAAGTAAAGACTTAAGACAAAGCATTTATTTTTTCTGTGTTGTCATTTATATATCCATAGTTATTATTAAACTCTATGAATTCCCCTTCAAAAAATCTCTCTGCAATAAAAAAGCTCTCTAAATGATTTACTGATAAATTTACTTTCATCTTCTTAAAGAATTAAGAGATCTTAATATTTAATAGGAGGAGTATTGCAACCTTTATCATTTAATTCCTAAATAAATTTCTGCATATATCTTTACGAAATTAGATGGGATCTACAATCTTTCATGGCTTCATTCATTGATTTGTAGGGTTATCCGCTTTGAATAGAAAAAATAAATACCCTATAGGCATTTTAAAAACATAGACCTCATCCTAAAAGCTATCTGTTCTTTTCATCAAGTAAACATCTTTCAATTAACTGAAAACGATTGGTTTCAAAGTTCTTATACAAGTCCAGTAATATTGATGTTTTACAGTATAATCATTCGGAATCTATATTTTTTCTATTGTTATAATATTTTTTTCAAAGGCTTTTTAGTTAAGTTCTATGCTAAAGATCTTAAACTTATTTTGAATAGTGGTTATTCTTGGATCTCTGTTGAATATTGTGGGGTCAGGTATAAACTCAATTAAGATCTCCATAATAGGACGACGAAGTTATGCTTCTTTTTCTTTTTCTATTCTGTTTCTTATAAGATTTGGGTCATGACTTGGATGGTACTCAATATATCTATCATCTATTTGATTTTCTTGATCTTAATAGGTTGCTTATTTAAAAAAAAAATTACTATGTTTTTCATTGATAATTCTTTTTTATTTCTCTATTTCCTCTTTCAATTTTTCTCTCTCTATTTCCTCTTTCAATTTTTGAGCTCTCTATTTTTCCTCTTTCAATTTTTGAGCTCTCTCTTTTTCCTCTTCCAATTTTTGAGCTCTCTATATTTTCTATTCCTATAAATCTCTATATAGTGTATTCCTCTGAATAATTATATCTTCTCCTAAGTTTTTACTTTTTGTTCTTAATTCATCAATCCAATTACTTAATTTAATGAGCATATTTTTTGAACAATTTTACATCTCTTCTTCTAAGCCTTTCTCAAATTCATCTTAAAATTAAAAGATTTGATCTATTATATTCTTCAAATCCTGTTCATTTAATTCTTAAAGTCTTTATTTATTGTATTAACATTTATTTCTTAGGGTTTTAGTTAATTCATTAAATCCTTCGACTATTTTTCTTAAACTTTCTTATAAATTGAGTATATAAATCTCCATCTTTTTCCCAATATCTTCAAAAAATTGAATTAATCCTTCTTCATCTTTTACATTATATTGACAAGTAAAATGTTCATTTCTTTTATCACATTTAAGACAATAAACTCTATTGGTAGCTCTACATGATTTATTTAGGCAAACCTATTGAAAAAGATTCTTTTTCCCACAAGAACAATATATCTAAAGATTTCTAATTTAACTCATAAATGATATTATTTGTATTTCTATTAAATTATTTTTAATTTTATTTTAAGATAATAATAATATCATCTTAATATATTAGTTAATTAATTAGATTTAAATTGGACTAGATATTCATCAATCAACTGATTAATAAAATTTGGTAATAATCTGAATAACTTCCCCTGTCTTGACAAGATAATTTCCTATTTAAAACAATATATTGCAGTTAATATATTATTTTCTGAATATTTACATAATTTTTATTATTATTAGAAATTCATTGCTATATTGATAAGATTTTTAATCATTTAATATTCATATATATGATTTCTAAACTTTGATACATTATTTACAATAACTTATCTCCCTAACAAATAAAATTGTTATTATTCATAAATCTTCTTTTCTAAATTAACTTAAAAATTTTTTTAATTAACTCATAAATACTTATTAGAGTCTGCATCATTGGTTATACAAATTAATTGAGGGATTAACTAATTTCAATTTTATGAGATTTCCAAAGGAATTATGGATTTATCTGCCAAAGAACACAATAAAATACTTAGTCAGTAGTAATACAGATATCTCTTATGAACTAGTTTAGCTAGAGAAATTATGATTATTTCTGAATGAGAATTATGCAATACCTATAGTTTTTAAGAGTTAATTGGACTTGAATTACAATTATATAACCAGTTCTAAGGCTAAAAGGTCCAATGAGGAATGATGAATAAAAATGATGAGGAAAATGGAGTATAGAGTTAAATAGAAATGTCCTTAATTTCTCTTATGAAATTAAATCTCTTCCTAACTATGATCACTTAGACAGAAATAATTGGAAAAATGCAATGGTCATTTAATCATGAGATTGATAGCTAAACCAAAAGTATAAGCTTATTTTTTTATCAGGAGAGCGCTTGCATAGCCAAATTTATGTGTTAAATTTTAGTTTTTTTAAGAATTAAGTGCTCCAAAAATTTATTGACAAAGTTATTTCATTATTTCAAGATAACATACTAATTCAACTTTTAAATCATCAAAACTGAGTAAAATATTTTTAATTAATATGAATTATTAAAAAAAATAACAAAAAGCTTAATTCTATATTTAATTAATTATTATATTTATTCAAAAAAAATCTGCTTATAAAATTTACCCAAAATGAAAAAGTATATTTTCTCTCAAATTTAGAGATATGAAAGAATATGGCTTTTTAATATAATTAATAACTTTAAAACCTATTTTATTTGTTCAATTTCAGTAATACTCCTCCCAGCTAATAATTTGAGTTATTATAACTTAAATTTTATGAAAGTCATCCTTCATTTTTTCCCTTATCTCTTCATCTTAAACCATCTACCAACTTTCTTACCTCATTTGTAATCACCTTTTAAAATAACTTAATTAAAACTTATCATTAAATATTTGAACTTAATACCTATCAAATCTATCACTTAATTCAATCCATTTTCCATTCTTAAGTCCTTCGTTCTCTATTTTATAACATCCACCTCCACTAAATAATTAATAAGTCTAATTATAATTGCATCAATTCTTATTTTTTATCAAATCACTCCAATATAAATTCCATAAACCAACTTTTTATCCATTATTATATTCACCTTAATAGGTGATTTAACTTTCACTATTTAAATAAAGATTAATCATTTTATACCGAGCAGAATTTTCATCCAATTCAACCCATTTTCCATGTTTAGATCCTCTTTCATCATACCATCCAATACCACTAAAATTAGTATAGATATTTCTTATTACATTTATTTACATAAATCTTAAGAATACTCACTACTCGATATATTCCATATACCAATTTTATAACCATTTTGATATTATCCATTAAATTTGACTTACTTATTTCTAATACATCAATCATAATCATAATCATAATCATTCATTACCTCCCAAAATCAATCAATTCTACCCAACTACCAATTTTTAGCTCTTTACCCTCTTTATCATAATACCCACCTCCACTAAATAATAAATATTTATAAACCATACATCTCTTGAAATGATTAATAGCCATTCTACCTCAAACATTCAACCCACATACCAATTTTTTTACCATTTCTATATTTTCCATTATAAGTGACTTATTTATCACTTATTTATGTCTTTATATATCAAATTTACTTCTAAAAGATTTACTCAACTCAATCCAATTATCATTTTTTATTCCATTTTTATTATAATTTCAACTTCCTCTACACAAGAAAAAGTAAAAAATTAATACATTTCTTAATCCTTAAATAAATATTTCCATTTTCTCTTCTTCAATTATCAACATATTCTCCAACATCATATAGTAAAGACTATCTATATATTATAGTTATTAAAGTTGAATTTTACTTCATATAATTACTTTTTAATTCTGTCCAAAACCCTATTTTTTTTCCTTCTTCTGAGTATAATATAGCAAATTTTATTAATTATTTGAATCTATTCTATACTGACCCCCTACTTTATTTTAATTTTTGACCTTTCCAAATGGCTATCCAATCCCCAACTTGTTTTAGATTCTTTCTATACTCACCAACCCATTAAAGATATTTGATTTATTCTAAATTGTTTAGGATTTATGGAGTCTATTAGGGGTCGTTATTATAATCATTAAATTAAATAATTTATATAACATTCTCAAAATTTATCCATCCTCAGTAACATACTTGATTTCTATATTATTATTAATAATAATTAAGAATTTGATCTTCAGAAATCTATACCAAAACAATCTTTCACCTTAAAACTCCTAAAATTAATAATTTTTAAACTTTTAATATCATCTTTAGATAATTAATGAACTTTTATGGATTTTTTTATTTTAATTAAACCATATTTTATTGTTCTGTTAAAGGATAAAATACCTTAGCTAGAATAATTTATTGTTTGATAAACTTCATCATCAATGTGATATCCATTAAATGGAATAATAATCATTAAAATATATAAATGTATCTTAAACTAGTTTATAATAAGTGTAATATTTATAATAAGTGTAATATTTATATATCATAGTTGTTGTAGAGTCTTTCTACAAAGTATTTGCAATAATTTAAGGGAATGCCTTAAGAGAGATAGTAACTGAATTATTTTGTATATATTTATGATGCTGTTTTTAGGATTTATTTTGATAGAGGATAAATAATTTATGTAAAATATGGAACTGAAATAAAATTTATTGTGGATTTGAAAATATGGAATATAAATAATTCAAAAACCCTTTATAATTAGTGATTCTATTTTAGAAGAATTAAGATAGAAAAAGTAATTAATTAAAAACAGTTTATTGATATATTTAATGATTAAATTGAAATAAATATTTAAAATATATTTTAGAAGAATAAAATTTATTAATATGAATTCAGGTGAGAGTAAAAATGTTCTTGTAGCCAATTGAAATGGAATAACTGAATGAACGGCATGCCCTGGCTAATTTGAGATCTATTTTTTATATCTTTCACAGAATACTAATACTTTTGTTATTATTTAATTACATATTTATGAATTTGGTTATTGTTAAATAATATAACAGCGTAATTTTTTGTTTATTGTTCTTTCCAATATAAATTTTGGAAGAATAAATATAGCATAATATTAATTTTCCTAATTTTATGAAAAAGCAAGAAATTGAAAATTTGAAGAGTTCCGATTCTCAAATTTTGTAATTGAAAGAAAATGGTAAGGATCAAGAGAAATAATTAGGTTAAAATAAAAGATAATAAATTGCAATTGTACACTATTCCACAACTAAATTATCTAATGTTTAGTATATTATAAATACATTTTCCTTAAAAAATCGAAGCAATATATCATACAAGATAATGTATTGTCAAAAAATAATAGTATAAATCATAAATACCATTACTAGTGCTTCCATCCAAATAATGATGTATAAATCAAGTTTATTTCTAGTAAAATAAATATTAATTATTTATCCAAGATACCAAATTAATATACATGTAAGTAATATACATTATATAAGAGGGCAACTTTACATGATAGTAAGCACTATTAAAAATAAGACTTTTTTAGTTAAAATAATATCATCATGCTATTTATTTCTTAAATCTTTCAATATAATTTTATGATTATTTCTTCTTAAATTTTAACTTATAATAGTGATTAAGGATACTAAGTATCCAATAGAAGAAATTATTTCTCTTATTCCTGTCTTAGAATTAAAACAATAAAACTTTTAATATTAGATCTCAAATATTAGCTTAGGGTAATTGAAGTAAGCCTTACTTATTAAATATATCATTTATTTTGTAAATACTATAATTGAGATAATAAAATTTAATTCCAATGCTTTCAATAATTTATTCTTCATGAGTCTAATATAGTAGATATATTTAGAGCCAAAGCATTTAGTGTTTATAAATTTTGTATAGTATTTTATAAATATGTAGAATTCAATCAGGAATTCAATTTAAGTAAATGAAACATAGATATTAACTAATCAATCAGCGTTTAATTGATATATTCAAAAAGTTTTCCAATACTTTCTATATATTGATCATTTATTTCAAATATGATTGAAATTATAAAGTATCTAAAATTTCCATACATTAACTAGGATTTCCAAATAATAAAAGAAAAAACTACTACTAGCTAATCCTATCA